ATTTATTTATTTATTTATTTATTTATTTATTTATTTATTTATTTATTTATTTATTTATTTATTTATTTATTTATTTATTTATTTATTTATTTATTTATTTATTTATTTATTTATTTATTTATTTATTTATTTATTTATTTATTTATTTATTTATTTATTTATTTATTTATTTATTTATTTATTTATTTATTTATTTATTTATTTATTTATAATGTTCACACCATACGTTTGAGCAATATGACTGCGAGCAAATGTGTAATGTAACATTTTCAAGGTGTTGTTCTGAGTAATTTAGTTGTGGTAATTTGTGGTATAACATTTAGGCTAACCGAGTGCTCTAAGAAACTCATTTACAACATTATTAATATCAAATTTAAGACAAATTTAATTTAAATAAAACCCAACACCAAAATACTTATTATTCACGCGAAATTCCAACGCGAGCTGCGCTACAACTCTATGACATTATAATTATATTTGAAGTAACTACGATGAATTGAGTTAAATAGTAATTTTAATAATTGTTATGTTTGTAATCTAGAGTGGTGATGGGCATGGACACAGTCACCACCATGTACCTAGCCTCGATCAGGGAAATAATATTAGGGAAGATACTTCTATACAAATGAAGAATCATGTGACGAAATCGGAATCCAGCGCTGACCTTGTGGTAGGACGTCGCATAGAATTTGTATAATAAAGCCTTATGATCACACTCACGTTTATTTATATCCACCTTTCATGGTAATGGGAAGGAGTTACATGGATGGTAGTGTTTCTTATGAGTGCTATGTTCATTCAATCAATAAATGCCACATTGAAGATCCAATTTCCAGATTAAATATTAACTACATATTACACAATTGTGTCATTGACATTTAACCTTGCACTTTCAGTCTGGACTTTCTGATGACAAAACGCTGGAAATTATTGAAGAACATTTCGAAGATTCAAAAACAAAGAAAAAATGGTGGCAGTGTAAGTCATTTGGAGCATTGAATTTGTTGGCAGATTATTTTTTATTCGGTGGTTGGAGTGCTATTTTTTAATTTTATATGGCTATGACACACGCGGCTTTCTTCGCTTAGTTTTTTGTCTCCTATTTATTTCTCTGAAAGACATCGCGAAAAAAATAATGACCCTCCTCGGCTCCTGAAGTTTTCTCTGTTATTTGTAAAAATAAGTTTAAAGCGGGGGAGTCGTCACCTGCATGCGTCAGATGGCCATATAGCGTGTCATTGTTTACAAACAAGCGTCTCCCCGTGAGTCTTTGCGTATTTAGCATGTGTTGTTATCGTCGCTTGGGACTCAATCCCCGCGCGTGTCATAAATACTGAATGTGTAGGCATTTCTCAGGCACTTTAACTAACTTGTGTTAGGCTAATTGGAAACAAACTATTATTATAATGAATAGTAAAATGGAAGCATCTTCCTGAGTTGTTGTGGAAATCAGCTTTCGAGGACATTGCCTTCTAATAAATAGTTAAAGGGTGGTGGTCGCAGCGCAGCGTGAGCTCAAATTTAATTTAAACAATGTATTTTACACACGTTGTGTATTTCGCTATGTCGAAAGAGACGCGGTGCGACGACCACCGTCCTTTAACAATAGTGACGTCCTGATTTTTGATAGTATATCCGATTTAAGACTGAAACCTAATTTGTCTATAAACAATATGATAAAGGCTATTCGTTTTCGACATTGTGAAATTCTTTAATTTTTTGGAAATGTATATATGCACACCAATGATAAGATTCATAATTACTGTGAATATTAAAAAAACAAAAACATATATATAATTTGATATACTGTTAAATAAAAAAACAAAATACGTAGCGCGTATATAAACAATAACTTTAATAAATATGATTTTACTTGATAAAATAATGTATTTTTCATGAATTTCACAGTGTGGAAAACTTAATTTTTATCGAGTGTTTTATTTAAAGCGCGGTAGTCGTCACGCATGTGCGACATTTGTGTTGATTAACATTGATTTTCCCACAATCCAATGCGCTTTTCTAATGGAAATCACAAGTATGAGGTTTCATCTGGGCGCGACTTGCACTGATTACCGCCGGTGACTCCTTCGATACCTTCCAATAACATGAAAATTGCTTAATGAAAGCTTGGAAACGTCTCATTTCGTACTCGTTGATCTGCGCAACAGCCAATGTCGCCATCTTTTTTTTAATGAGACCCATATATCTAGCACATGCGCAGCGCGACGACTACCGCGCTTTAAATATACGCTTTCCTATATTTACATCGTTCCCATTGATAGACCTTAGACAAAAATGGCCACCGAGATCAAATAGTGTTCCATTCGCGACCATTGTTATATAGCTTAATAGTTGACGATATGAGAGGAGACAATGGAAGACTATCTGAGAGGCAAAAATCTCGTGACACTCTCACTCTCAACGAGATCTCTGCGGTCATTTACGTCTGAGGTCTAAGATTGTGAATCTCATTCGTAGATTTGAACAGTTTGGCTGTCATGGTGATAATAGGTGATGGTTTGCATAACTTCGCCGATGGTCTGGCTATTGGTGCAGCATTTTGTATCGATGTTTTAACGGGGGTGTCCACCAGTATAGCTGTGCTATGTCATGAACTGCCGCACGAATTTGGTAAGATTAACATTACATGTATATTCATAGGAAACAATGTCATCGTACATGTTCTGTCGAATTGCGGTAAAAACAAGAAAAAAATAAATACCAACTAGGAAATCGTCGATAAAAACAAATTAATTCATAATAGAATAAAGGAATAAAAAAACACAGAGGACTCGACAATAAATACAAAGGACTCTAAACGAAAAATCAAATGGAATTAAAAGAAGAAAATTGGTGACCTCTGGAAGTGATGTTTTGGGAAATGATCATGGTGCAGTGTTAGTTCTGTGAACCATTCATGTACCCGCTGTTCACGTTTGGATTGAAGCCAGATACAACTGTAATGGAATTTACAACGGAGTAAAACAAATCTTATAATGTCACCATCGTGTGGTGCGTGTTATACGTTGACAGGAGGCGATGCAGTATACGGACATGATATTATAAATCCACACATAGTAAAACTATAGATTCTGGCACTTCCTGACCTTCTATTTCAAGTACACCATAACGTGTGATGTATGGCATGTTTGTAGTCATTTTGTTTCACTGGATTAACACAGAAAATATTCTATTTGTGGCTTAGAACGTTGTGATACAGAATAGTCACACATTGACGCAAGCGACTGTGTTTTTTTTTTTTTATAAAATCTTTTCAAATATTAGATTATAAATGTAGAAACAAAAATATGTAATCTCACATTTCCGTGTATATATTAAACTAGGTGTGTCTAAATTTAACATTAGTATGAAATTTTCATTTACAGGAAAACAAAATTGTAAATGCCTTTCACAATGCCATTGTTATTCAACTGATTATTTTACTAGGTGATTATGCCATTTTAGTGTCAACTGGTATGGGTTATAAGCGAGCTTTACTTTGGAATGGAATTTCTGCTAGCTTTGCGTTTGTTGGGTTGTACATTGGTCTAGTTATTGGTAGTATAGACGGCGTCAGTGAGTGGATACTTGCAATCACCGCCGGTATGTTTCTGTACATAGCATTGGCTGATATGGTAAGTAATCACTATGACAACAAATTGTGTGTTGTGAAAATTTGGTTTTTGCTTGTGTACTTTAATTTTTTTAAATTTAATATTTAGTTTACAACGGTTTACCTGAACGTATTAAAACTTTGTACATGGTGGCTGTTTGTTCAGAATATTATTATTCTGTGCATAATAACTAGCTAATTTACATATAGCTAATTTCCTATATACATGTAAGGTATTTTATCAATATGCTCATGATGATTTCTATCTGTTCTGTTTTGTTTTTACAGTCGATGACAATAATCTTTTTTTTTTTTTTTCTCTTCAGACACCACAATTGACGCAATATAAAAGTTCAACGCGGGGAGATAACTGGTTGGTGTTTTTATGGCAAAATATTGGAATACTAACAGGATTTACTATTATCTTTCTCTTGGCTTATTTTGAACACGCCATCGAAGTTTGAAATCTGAACCTCACAATTTAAGCTTGAATCGAATAAACATAAATACGATTTGATTGTTGAAAGTGGTCCGCTGTCCTATAAGAACATCGTGGTAGGAAAACACGCAAGATAAAATACAGCATGAGAAAGAATTTTGATCAAGGTTGTTAAGGATGTGTCCATTTCATATTAAAATTATACCAATACTATTTACATCATAATGGTAGCACAGCCATGATGTCAAATGTTGATACTTCCCCTATAACGTGATTTACAGCTAACGAAATTCCACCAAATGTACATAAATATATATTATTAGTGGTTATCAAGAAAAAAATCAATAATCAATCAATCAATAGATGAATTATTTTTCACCGAAAATATTTCGCACAAATAAGGGTTGAAGATATTATCCTCGAATGAATAATTCCGATAGATAGATCCTATATCACTTGATGCCAGAAATGCATTGTGGGTACTGATGATGTTATTTTTTAGTGCAGGTCCAAAGAAATTAAAATCAATAAAAGAATGTCGCCAAATCACAAGTTCAAGATCTGCTAGATATATATAGTGATAATTTCGTGTACGTTTCATCTGATAATGAGGTTATATATTAAATTATGTTACTTAAG